CCCCACCGTACCTCTTTGGCGTTGTGAGCCTGCAGGGCCCGCTCCCATTTCTTCTTATTACTGGTCAGGAGTTCCTGTCGCTCCACCTCAAATGCTTTCTACAACCAGGAAGGAAAAGGGCTCTTGTGTCTGTTCTGATTAGGCAGGTCCCACAGTATCAAACAGCCCATAGCCAACAGTCAAGTGCCCTGTCACCAACCACACAAAGTCAAATCCAAATGCAGACATGCCAGGGGTTACGTAGCCAATGACTGCGGAAGGAGCTGCATGGAAATTAGTGTTATGAAGCGTATACTTCACACAAGCTGAGAGAGGAAATGTGCCAACTGTTCTGTGGCTTAATCAATATCTGAGGCAGGCAGCTAGAGGAAGGCCAATGCCCTTGTTGGCAGTCGCAGGGCAAACCCTGGCATGTAGCTCAGCCATGACTAGGATTGTCATATTGCTGGGCTGGGGTCCCCAGAAGCAAAGGCAGCTTGGAGCTCAGGAGGTGTGGGCCCGGGATGCAGAAATGGGTCTCTAATAATCCAGAGAGAGAGGTGCCCCTGCTCCTGGCGCGCTCTCATTTTGGAAAGATCTCAGTCTCAATTTCAATTAAGTATCTCATTCAAATGCAAAGTGCTGATTCCTGAGTCCTGTTTGCCATGCCCCTTTCCCATCCCTCATCCGTGACTATCATAAATAAGTCAGGCAAATAACGGTTATACAGCTCTAATCTCCCTCCTCCGCTCCTCTTACCCTTGCCCACTTCTGTTTTCTTTCCGAGCACTTATCACCGCCTGTCAAATTACCCACTTAGCAGCGTGTCTGCTGGCTGTCTAGCTGTCTCCCATAGGAGCACAAGCTTCCCCAAGGCCCTCGTTTTGTTCATGGCTGTATGCCCAGCCCTGGTACAGTGCCTGGCAATAACAGACGCTTGATGAATGTTTGTTGAGTGAGTGAATAAACCAGCGACCCCCAGAGCAGGAACAGGAAGCAGCGGACCAGGACACTGGGGCCACCCTGCCTCC